CGCGTCGACATGACTAGAAAAAAGACGAGTCATTTAGCCCGTCTTTTTCTCACCTGGGTAGTTGTAATCAATGTTCTTTTTCTCCTCACACTCGACGTCATTATTCTTGCTTGTGTCAACAAGTATTATGTTGCTGATAAGTATTATATTTTCTTCAGCTTTTTTTCTGGCATAGAAAAATATTAGTTATTGGATGTTCATAAATTTCTAATTGTCATCTGCATTAATAAAAAATCCTGTTTTGATATTAGAGAAAAATAACCGTACAAATAGTAGCAATTTCAAACTAGCATCCGCTTCGTAATTATCTCCGTCTTACGTTGATCTAGATCGTTGCTTTTATTGAACTTAGTCGTTTTCTGTTAGCTAACTTCAATTAAAAAATATGTCTTTATCATATTTTCCTGTAGAAAGCAACAAATTTTACAATACATTTTCAATAATTGATTGCAATACTTATTGTAAGAATGTTTTTTCATCTGTAATGTTTATATTATCTTTTAGGATGAATTGTTGTATATAGAATAAGTGGACTTTTTACATTGATGATATTTTCAATCGAGTTCATTGGCAAGATACAATTATTATTAAAATGAATCAACATATTTCATGATTTGTTAAATTTGATTACTAGAAACTCTTTGATTTTAACTGAAATTTATAATTATTTCTCTTGTAATAATTTTTAGCTCGTCTCTCTAATAATGTGGGTGGGTATGAGTCGTATGGGCTATCTCTTCATCATCATCCACACGCACTTACTCAATACATAAATCATTCATTTCATAGTATTATGAGCCAATAAACAGATATACTTAGTGTATGACAAGGAAATAAAAAACGAATAAATCTCAAATTTTCGTTGGTTTATCAAAGATATTTGCGTTGACAGCTAAGCACTTGTTCTGAGATGAAATCTTAAATTTAATTAAAAAAGAATACGATTATATTAAATTAGAATATAACAAAAAACCTTAAAATATAACTATATCTAAGAATAATTTTCATCATGCTACATCGAAAAAAAAATAAGAAAAATTTTTCGGAGCATCTATTATTTTATGTCAACTACAACTCCGAAAAAAAAAACAGTTTAACTCCGATTCTGACTCTAGTATAGTCGGAGGTTGAAAGTCTATAAAATACGAGAGATGGAAATCCAGATAAATCAAGAAATCAATTTTTTCAAGAGATTATATTTATTTAATATTTTTGCCATAGTTTTAATTGTTAGAGCTACATTTCCACTCAACATATTGAGTGAATGATAATCATTTCGATAAACAGATAAACACGTAAAACATTAAGAAAAATGCCAAGAAATGATTATTTATTTGATTTCATATAAATCTAATCAACTGTAATTTCTAGATAAATAAAATTTGAGTCTTTTCTTTTCTACTGGATTAGTATGAAATTCAAGGATATTTGTTCCAACAATATAGCCAGAATAGTATAGCTCGTGTTTGTTCATTTGTCCTGATAGAGTTTTTTCAAATATATTTTCCTCCTTCGGAGTACATTAGAGAAAAAAATCATTTTCAATATTTGATACTTTTTTTTAAATGTTGATCGCTTGAATAGTTTTTATTGAATTCTATTTCATATAATCTCGAATTAATAAAGAAAAGTATATGTTTTGATTATGTATTCTCATAAATATTTTTTTTTATAGAACAACCAATGATTGTTTTATTTTAGTTTATATTGTGAAACGCAAAACACATGTACTATAAATGAATGGTTAATTTTTTTTAAAAGGTTTTATTATGTATGCTTCACTGATTACGTCTTCAATCAATAAAAAGGTGTTCTCAATATGTATTGATAGGTATGATGAAACGCGTATAGACTTCACATGGTTTGGTGTCTAACAAAAGAAGGAAAGAAAAAATTTCGATAAGTGAAACAATTTATGCGTTAATACATATATAGTGTGCCTTCATATCAACATGCCTATCTTGCTGTTTAATGCGATGATATGGTTCAAATATTTTTGGGTACAAAATAACAATCGGAAAGAAAAAAAACAATTTTAGTTCTGACATATATCATTCTTGACGATTTAACAAATCTATTCCTAAATATTTCTTGATGAATTGATTAGAAACTTTCAGTGTTTGAATTGGTTGATACAAAATGATAAGTGACTTAGCAATATAATATAACCAGAAAGATACACTAAATTTATCTTTAATATAAATTACCTAGTAATTCTTTTTGAATGTGTTTCAAATTGCAATTTATGTCTGTTGGTGATTTTAGAAAAGTCTTCGTCTTATGATACTTAATAAATGAAAATCTAAATTGCACGTATTGACTCAAAATATAAATGATTTCATGCGATGATGTGACTATTTTCTCTATCAAATAACAACAAGAAAAAAAAAAACGTTTCTCATTGAACACATCATCATGTTTACTTCTTATTTTAGTTATTTTGATTATCAATAATCGAGAAGTCGACTGAATATACATAGTAATAATACTGTTCAGTATAAACTTTGATGTAAATAGATGATAGACACTAAATGATTTTTATCTCTTTTTCGATTTCAACATTGATGATACTTGTGATTTATTGGCAAAAATGAAATCTAAGGCAAATGTGAGCGAAAGACAAATCTGAAAATTATACATAAAATAGAAACAAATGAGATATCAGTCTAGATTATTTTTAGTAAGGATATTTCTCTTGTTAACTTTTATTATTATTCAACTGAGTATTGAAACTTCAAAAATCATGAGTACATGGCTCAACATTATTTATTTACTTCAAAACAAAATTTGAACATTTATTGTTTGTTTTTCATTGTAATTGATTACAAAAATGCTGATAATTTTTGATACAAAAACAAATTTTATTTTATTTTATTTTATTTCAATTTTTAGTTGAATCGAAATATCAGTCACAAGAGACTTGTACTCAATCATAACATAAATTAATAAAAAAAAATTTCTATATTTAAAATAAGTTATTTTTAATCATAACGTTGTTACAGTTACAATAAATATTCTTATAAATTTTACTAATGCTTATGTCTTTTAATAATTGTTGTCGATTTATTTATAATTGTGTTAGTATAATGCTCGCTTCTTCATGTTTCTTATGTAATATTTCAAAAAGAGGCAATTTAAAAAACCAATCGCTCTTGTTGAGTAAATGTGCAAAAGCTGAATACCAAGCAAACGTTGCTGAAAGAAGACCAAATGCTCCGGATGCTCGTTGTAAATTTTGATGACTTTGTAAAAATTTACTGCTTGATAATAAAACAAAACATAGAAAAAGAGAAAAAAATAGACCAATAGTAATAAGATTAGTACGTAGACAAGATAAGGTCATCAATCCTGTAAATATTGCCCATGAAAGAAAAAAAACACCTAATGCATTATTCAAAACGGATATGTCCTTATAACCAACGAGAAAATTAAAAGCAGCTATATGAATTGCTCCAAAACTAAGCCAAAATCCTCCATAGGAAGAAAATGCTACAGCACCAAAGGTATTTCCTTCACGAAA